TCTCTCTCTCTCTCTCTCTCTCTCTCTCTCTCTCTCTCTCCCCAGGGTTTCACTATGAAGTTGTGACTGGCCTGGAACTCACAGAGAGGTCCACCTGCTTCTGCCTCCTAAGAGCTGAGCTAGGAATAAAGACATCCAATGCCATACTTGGCTTATATATTATTTTTATATAAAGATTTTGGAGTTCTTGTGTATTGAATCAGGGCCCTGAACATGCTAAGCATGTGCTCTACCATAGAACTACATACAGTCTATGAATTGCCTGTAATGCATGTCTTTTTCTTTAAATTATCTGTATAATTATCTGTATAATTTTATTGAGTTGTAAAAGTTCTTTTACATTTTCATCATATTTCTATTTTATTTTGTGTGTGTGTGTGTGTGTGTGTGTGTGCGTGCATGTGGAGGTCAGAGAACAAGGCGTGGGATTCAGACCTTTCCTCCCATCATGTAGGGCTTGAGGACTGACATCAGGTGACCAGGCTTGATGGCAGGTACTTTTGCTCACCATGCCATCTTGATGATCCTAAAATCTCTTTCAAAATTAGAGGAATTAGCACAATTTCTGTGATACATGTAATAAAGATTTTTCCATAGTCTTTTTTCTTTTTTATACTTTTTGATAGTTTGTTGTTATTTGTTTGCTTGCTATATTTTTCCCCAAATGGAAATAGCTATGTAGATTCTAAAAGATCTTTACCTCTTTAGAGTCTACAGAGATTTACATATACTTTCTTTATCTAATATGTGTCCCTTTTTAAATGTTCAAATCTTTCAATTGAAATGGAATTTATTTTGATAGAAACAGTAAGAAATTATTTATGATAGAAACAGTATGGAATTAGCTTCTTACCCAAGTAGCTAACAAGGTAACAAAACTGCTTTACTATAACCTTTACTTTCTACTTTGGAATAAATTTATAGACTACATCAAATCTTAAGTCAGTGGTTCTCAACCTTCCTAATGCTGCAACTCTTTAATATAGTTACTCTACTTGTGATGACCCCCAATCATAAAGTTATTTCGTTGCTACTTCCTAACTGTAATTTTGCTACTGTTATGAATCATAATGCAAATATCTGATATGTGGTCCACAGGTTGACAACTGCTGTCTTAGGCTTTGCAACTCTGAAAACAAAAGAATTTCTATAGACATTAACCTATTATTTAAGATGGTGAAGTTATACCGGCAATGACTTTATTTTACTTATATAAGAACTATCATTCTATATGCTATTTATTCAGATAATGAAGAAGTTGAGTGGTCTGCTTGAATTCTGTATTTCATTTGTGTTTCATGTTATTTTGATGAGAAGATGACATTTGCTTTCTTAGCTTCCATGTCAGTTAGTCTGGGATGTGGAATATTGTAGGAGACAGTATTCAATGATGTCTTACAGAGACAAAAGCTCGGGGACTAATGACAAGACTCTTGATATTTATGCTTTAAAAAATATATCCTGGAACATAGAATGAATTTACTGACATCTTGTTTTTCCCCCCTGTGTTCTTGAGTCAGAGTCGTATTTGTAGCCCAGGCTAGCCTTGAAATCATGCTTCAGCCTCTCCAGTGCTGGGATTATAGGTGGGTTCCAACATGCATGGCTGATTTACCTCTAACAAACAAACTACGACACAGTTATGAGGTGTCACTTCTATATTGGAATACAAAATACTGTAGCTTTTTTGTTTGTTTGTTTGTTTGTTTTTGTTTTTTTGAGACAGGGTTTCTCTGTATAGTCCTGGCTGTCCTGGAACTCACTCTGTAGACCAGGCTGGCCTCAAACTCAGAAATCCACCTGCCTCTGCCTCCCAAGTGCTGGGATTAAAGGCGTGTGCCAACACTGTAGCTTTTACTGTTGTACTCTGTCTACTCTTCTCTGAAGACGTGTTCTGTGTTGTAAAGCTTCTTGTGGAGAGGGTCCTATGGCAGGAGGCTTCCAGCCAAAAGTCATCAGGTAACTAAGAGCTTTAGTACCACAACTATGAAAAACTGTATCCTGCCATCAACTGAGTATGTGAATAGCCAACAATTCTCCATAGCTACATTTTCACCTGAAGTGGCAGTGCTGGTAGGCAGCATGTCTGCAGCCTCCTAAGAACCTGAATGAGGCTGCCACCCAGATTCTTGACCCAAAGATGCTGAGAAATAACAAAGGATTATTGTTTGGTACCATTAAACACTAGGATGATTTATTGCATAAGATAGCTAGTGTTCTAGGCAGACAATGCTGGAACCATATAGTTTAGGAAGAATTTGTAATGTAAGAATCTGATTGCTCTTGTGTGTACATGCACTGGAGATCAAACCCAGAGCTTTGTTGAGTGCTAAGGTGTACTCTTACCATTGAACTAAACCTACAGTCTTTATAATCAATTTTTTTTTAAGATTTATTTACTCATTTTTTGTGAGTACACTGTCTTCAGGCACACCAGAAGAGGGTATCAAATTCCATTACAGATGGTTGTAAGCCACCATGTGGTTGCTGGGAATTGAATTCAGGAGGAGTCAGTACTCTTAACCGCTGAGCCATCTCTCCAGTCCATAATCAAATCTTTTTAAAAAGAAGAAATTGAGTTTCTAAAAAAGCACTTTTCAGTTTTAGACATGTAAATAAATGATCTCTTAAGAATACACTTTTGTGTATCCCACAAAATTATCCCACCTTTGTGCCTGTATTTACTTTCAAAACATTCTTTGCATAAAAAAGGTACTTGTTTCCCACAGCTCTCTATGGAGCCTGAAGGGAGATGACTGTCAGCTCTAGGATGACATGGCGTATGCAAGACTCTATTTCACAAAACAAAAGTATTCTTCTTTTCCCCTTTCAATTTTTTAAGATTTATTATATTTTTTAAATTATGTGTGAGACAGCTGGAAATATAGCTCAGCAGTTAAGAGCACATATTACTCTTCAAGAGGACCTGAGTTTGGTTCCTAGCACCCATGTCAGGCAGCTTACAACTGCCTGTAACCCAGGCACAGAAGATCCTATGCCTTCTTCTGGCCTCTATAGGCACTGCACACATACATAGACACACACACACACACACACACACGCTTAAAATAAAAAATTTAAATGTTATATGTGTATACATACATGTGACATGAGTACCTGCAGAGGCCAGAAGACAATGTCAGGTCTGGAATTACAGGCAGCTGTAAGGTACCTCACATGGATGTTAGGACCTGAACACAAGTCATTTGGAAAAGCAGTAGATGCTCTTAACCACTCAGCTATCCCTCCAGCCTTTTTTGCTTGTTTTGAGACAGGTATTCATTATGTAACCCAGGCTAGTCTTGCACTTGGGATCCTCCTGCCCACTTCTTCTGAAGTACAGGGATTACATTATGTACCACTCTGTCCAGGGTATTTCTTTCGTGTGTGTGTGTGTGTGTGTGTGTGTGTGTACACATATGTGAGTGGAGACCAGAGGTCAGTTTCTCCTGTTAATCTTTGTGAGCCTTCTTCTTTGAGTTCTGAGACAGGACTCACTGGGATCCAGCATGTATCTAGTAGGCTATGATAGCTGGCCACTGAGCCATAGGAAGCTTCCTGTTTTGTTTCCCCCAGAACTGTAAAGACAAGTGCTACTACCACGCCCAGCTTTTTCACATGGGTTCTTGGGGATCAAACTGTTGTCCTTATGCTTGTTTTTCAGTGATTTACTGACTGAATATTTCCTCAGTACTCTCAACATATTTAATGAAAATCAAATACATTTTTGTCATGGGTTAAAATAAATACTAGGACAAAGATGTTACCCTTTAAAAACTAATAATTTGGTTGTACAAAAATCATATTTCTTACTCCTAAAAATAGAAAGTGACTTAACAGAGACTAAATCAAAAATAAAGTATAACAAAAATCTAAAATGGTTTTCAAAATAGACACTGAAACCTGCCAGACTTATAAATGGGCTTCTGCAAGGAGCTGTCTAAAGTGGGTTCAGAACTTGGAAATGCAGATCACGCACGCACGCACGCACGCACGCACCCCTTATAGATGCATATGCCCATGTGAGCATGAGTGCCTACAGAGGCTGAAGAAGGTGCCAAGTTTGGAGTTAAAGGTAAGCCACCTGACATGGCTGCTGGGACCTAAATAGTAGGTGAGCAGGTGCTCAGGAAGGCCAGAGGGTGGGCCCGCAGCTGGGCAACAGAGTGCTTCCAAGCCAGGTACAAGGGCTCTGTGACACAGTTGAGACAAAGAATATTCTTTCAAAATAGGGTGTTTTAAAAGATAAATATGTCATATTAATTTTAATAGGAAATATGACTGGTAACTAACAAGATTATAAAAAACTTCTAGGTAAAATAATGTGTAGTTGCTTATAAAAGACTATAGAGATGTGTGTGTGTGTGTGTGTGTGTATGTCTATTTACTTTTCTAGTGTTGAGGATAAAATTTAGTACTTCACACTTGTTAGACAATTGCTTATCCCTAAATTATATCCCAGCCCCGTGAGATTTTAAGTTAGATGAAGGATGAAATTGATGCTTTCAGAAGAGTATTTTGGTACATAGGCTAACCTGGAGAGTAAAAGAATGATAAGAATTT